TGCGCGCAACCAAGCACAGGGCCGCTCCAACCAACCACGACGACAACTGGCATGGCGAGCGGAGTAGTGCGCGGGCTCCAGTGCCACCGCCTCCGCTCTCCTTTCTGGTGAGATGCCCGGCTGCAGTGGACCTTCGCCGGCTCATTCTCAAGAGGTGCGCACAATCTCATCCCTGAGCTGCAGCCTGACCTTAACGGAGTGAAGGCCATGTTTCACCCCGAGCTACAGCCTGAGCTACACACGTGATGAAGCCCGAGCTTCTCCACGCCACTATCTTGTAGATGCAGCCCAAGCTCCTCATGCGCCCTCAAGGTGCTCGATGGAGTGCCAAGCACGAATCTTAGAAGCTCTATATAATTCTTTACTTCTATTGCACATAACCATTTTGTTTCTTTTGCCGATTCTTACTTACAAGTTCGTAATTACTGGGTTTCTATTTCCTTTCCTTTATTTATATCTAGCAATTAGTTTAATGCTTGACTGCTTTACGCTGGATAGTAGTAGTAGATGTACATAAGTACATAACCTCTTTTTGGAGGCTATACGGTCAGATTTTCAGAGGCTTGGACTGGACAAGATGCATTGTCCAGAAGCATACTGCAAATGGAATAGCTGAGGGCACAATTTTTAGGAAAAAGATTTTACTGTTTAATGCAAGGTTCAGTTTTCTTATAGCTAAATCAATCAGTTAGCTAATCCAGAGAAATCTAGCACTTTGTCTCCACATTTACTTTGCAACTATTTGTGCTGTCAGATCATATTACAATGGCTCCAGAACGAAAAAAATCCATATATAGTGGCAGTGCAGCTCAGTTTTCTTTTTACAATGTTTATAGAGTCTGCACAACACTATAAGTATCTTTTGAAGATATAGGATGATTGCAAAAAACTTGGGCATCACTTTACTCAGTTAATAGGACAGGACAACAGGTCCCTTCAAAGAAATTTTGCATGGGATTCGGCAATCCTTTTATGCCTAGCTTTAGTGCTCTCAACAGCCCATAGTATCAGCTTCCTTATTTTCCAATACTAGCATAAATCTAGCATGCTTTGTTTAAATACATTTGTTTGTAAAATATGTCGATAATCAGCAAGAGGCAAAACATAAGGCTGTCGAGTGCCTCAGATAGCAACTACTTTACCAAATGCCAATGATTCTGCTGTGCACTGCTCCTGTTCAGCATCTTTGCTATCATGCATTGGTATGGTAAAAATCAAATTAATCCATCCCTCTCCATATCTATGGAAAATGTTGTAAGATTGAATTTGGAGTTAAAATGGCCATATGCTTATAAGCTTATTGCAGCAGAAAAATAATCCCTTTTGATCCTAGATTATATTTCTCATCCGCTACTCATTTTTTCATAAAATAGTTGACCAAATCCATTGGAAGATTATGTCATCAATGAAACAAACAATTAGAAAGTTAAATATTTCTTTTTTGTAAAAAACAATCCATCCTCTTGCCTATTTGTGTACAAGAATTTACTGCTTTTAGTAATGTCACAAAACCAAGGTTATATGGTTCTTCCAAATACTCTTCTCTACAGAACAAACTCAAAGCTCAAACTCAAAGCTCCAGTATTTTCATGAAAGCCAAAACTCAGACCCTCGGTTTGATCTATGTGAATAAATAAATCATTATGCTCCCATCAATCTATTATAATTATCCTATTTCAAAATTGGCCTCAGATTTTATTCATTTAGCAGCTTCATGAAATATACTGATATGATTAAAGGTTATGGACTATTGAATATTTTCCCTGATGGTACCTGTTCTATGCATGAGGTAAGTTTTAGTTCTTTCCATAATATTATTCTTCTGTACTACTACCAACAAACCTCTTCATTGATGCCAGCTCTAAATTTTATGGTTTAAACTATCGATCTAAGAAACTACGGACATATTGTTTTTACTTTTCCATATACGTAGGCGTTCAAACTGTTACATCTAAATTTTGAAATAAATAAATTGTTTTTTATCTACATTTCATCAATATTTACATACAGCCTATATCATTATGTTGAACCTTTCTACTTTGAAAGCAAACAAGATTGCGTGGAATAGTAGATTGATTGATCGAGAGGGATGCTTTACATATATATAGGGAGGGGAGATCTTGAGGTTTATAGAAACAGCACCAATCAAGATCTCCTCAAATCTCTCTAACCAAATCAATCAAGTGCCGGCCGGCTATAACAGCCTAACGTTGGACCCACACAAACGCACAACACGCTACTGTCTGACATACTTTGTTAATAACAAAACATTGATGCTTGCTGAAAGAACAGATTACAGAGCCCGAAATTCAGCTCAAGACAGTGTTTCATGCCTCCTTTAGGTCTAACCTGTTCCATTATATATCTTCGTCTGATATGTGTGGCTCAGGGTGAAGATGCACGGCAATACCCTGTAGCCTCACAGCCAATGAAGCTACCTGCAGTAGGACATTATAAACTGCATAGGAGATGGTGCAGGTTAGAAAGGAGCCAACATTCCTGTTTATATGTTTTTAAAGTTTTGTTCAAATTGCCATTTATCATAGCACCGTTGTGTCGTAGGAAAATATGAGGGTGGCTCAGAACATTTGGTCTATTAAGATGAGTAGATGACTGCCTTGTCTTGCTCAATTGATACTCAACTAGTCCATCATGTGTGCCCTCGCATGCGTTGGCAGTCGGTTGGACTAAACCAAACGATGCATGTGAGCAATCTACCTCGCTTCAGAACTGCAAATCAGGGAAGACCAATATCCTGTTTGTCTGAATTAACATCTATACATGATGAAACTAAAGCAAACGATGCATGCGAGCAATATACTTCGCTTTAGAACTGCAAATCAGAGAAGACCAATATCCTACTTGGTGAAGTATTAAATCAGGGAAGGCCAATATCCTATTGTAAAACTAATAAATCTCTTAGTAGATGAATGCAAAAAAAGTCAAACCTTTTCTGTTCGTGCCGCTGCAACCATGGAGGCGCCGCTCGGACCACAACAGGAACCTAGGGTTTCCTGTAGCACAACACAACACACGGAGCAGAGGGAGGAGGCGGCGCCGGGGAGGCAGGCATGCCGGCGGCGCTTGCCCGACCGACATGGGGGGGAGGAGGATTGCGGCCATAGCCGCGTCGCCCCGCTTGCGCGCACTGGCTGCCGTCGCCCTGGCGGCATCGGGAGAGAGAGGGAGCGAGCGGAGAGGAGAGAGGGGGGGGGGAGGGCATGCCGGGGGGGAGGGGAAGGATGAAGGCGGCTGCAGCTTCGCCGCCCCGCCCGTGCGCTCCGTGTACCGTCGCCATGGTCGCATGGATCGAGAGAGAGAGAGAGAGAGAGAGAGAGAGAGAGAGAGAGAGAGAGAGAGTGGAGAGGAGGAGGGCGTCGGGGTCGGGAACCATCGGGATGGGGAAGGAGCTGGACGGAGAAGTTGGAGCCGCGGTATATATTTGTTAGGCGAGGAGGTAACGCGATTCGTAGCTTTTGGACAGTGGAAAGACGATCGGACGCTGTAAATTTTTTTGACTGATGTGGACACCCTGAGCAGTGGCCAAATCAAACTGCTTTGATATATTATAATACAGATCGCCACGGAGTTATAAATCCGAAACAGGAAGGAGAGAGGCAAACACCAGCGAAGGGATAAGGTCATAAGGACGTGAGCGCCCTGGGCCACGCATCATGGACTGCCGCAGTGAATATTCATAGCAGTTAGCAGCAGTGATCCATGTTACCCTTTCCTAAATTAGCTATTCTAATATTTTTATATGTAGTACTTTATAGAGCTATAGCATTTCAATTTATGTAGTCATCACTACAAGAACAAAAGATGGTACCTCACTCCAAAAATTACTCCATATTTTTCGCATACCAATAATAGCCTCAAAAAGACATCAGTGAGCATTTTGGACAGCTACAGACATCCACATGCTGTTTTACTATAGCAGGGGCGCAGCAATTTGCTGCGCCTGTTTTCTAGTGCATAAATCATAAAGCTGTAGTCTATAGGCTCTAGCTTTGTATTTTATTTTTATTTTACTTTTTCAGCTAAGCTGGCCAAGCTATGCTACCAATATAAATCGCCAGTTGCATTGTACAAATTAAGAAGGAGATATCTGATGTTAACACCATAGGAAAAATTGTAGCGTATTAGCATATATGATGTCAACACAACACTGATACAAATTCACGTGTAACAAACACAAATTCACATATGTCTGCTACACAAATTCACATATGTGTAAAATATTCTGCTACTTAATTTATTTTTTCTGTTGAAACAAGTTTCACATGAACGTATTTATAGTGATTATTTTCATAATGTTAGATTTTGATTTAAACCCCTACTTTTTTCAATGAGCTTAATTTTGCGGACATTCACATGTAAATCTGATTAAGAATGGGGCCAAAACATAAATCTGCACCATGTGGCTGCCTCGCCTAACTAACCAGAATGCAGATAGATATCTAGTTATAGAAGTAGTCAATTGTTGTTAAACATACTATACTACTCTCTCTGAACAAGCATGCATACGTATCATCACCATTGATTAATTGATCAAGCTAAGTCTACCATATATCACCACGAGAACTACAATTTAGTTGCCACTCAATTTTATCTGTTAATCAAGTTAAACGACAAGTGCATACGTATATTTGTACAGTATATATGCTTGTTCTTAGTTTAGAGGAAAATCTTGTCATGTGCCTAATACCGTAAGTGATTCTTCATGCAGGAGTGTAGTATCATCAAATGGTTCGTGACCTGCTGATAGGCAGCTTGCCTACTATAGACAGCGATCTTGCCTACTTTAAACAAAAAAGGATGAAGTAGACAAAAGCTGATACATTCATTACTGAAACAAACCGATCGACATGTGAACACATCGAGCTGAGACAACACAATGACTTCACAATTTTGCAGAAACAAAAAAATAATAATAGAAATAAAGCCATGAAGTTGCTGAACGTGACTAAAGAAAAAGCCTCAATAACATTCCAATTTCCTTAGTTAGTCCTTCTGCAGTTCTTCCTGATCTCCCCAGCAGAGCCTGTCAACGGCGTAATGTCACCCATCTTGATCATGCCGGTCACAAAATCCGCGAAGAACGCGCTCTGGCTACTAACATACGATTGCACTAGCGCGTCGGTGGCTCCACCGTTGAAGAGCTCTTGGTCAGAGTGTAGGAGCCCCTTCTTGCTAACAAGGTTCTTGTAGTAGTCGTTCTCAAAGACGGTAGGGGTCTGAAGGTCCAAAGGCGCCAAGTTGTTGTCACCTGTACCTGAGGTGCTAGGACAGTCCGATTTCCTTGTGCTTGCAAAGGCATCGTCGATGTCTTTGGTTTCGTTGTATATATGGTCTCTGAAGTTGGTGCAGCGTGCTTGGCCTATGGTGTGAGCACCTAGTAGCAAAATTAAGAAGCAACAAGTCAAGACAACATATAAGGACGGCATAAATTATATGTTATCTCAAATATTTCAATAGTTAAGGTGTGAGGGAAATGAGTGGACGTATACTACACGCAAAAGCATGATATACAAGTTTCTTTACTTCTAGAAAGCCATACCGAGAAAAACATGCACGTACATGTGTGGCATCTCGTTGTCACCTTTGCAAATTAACTTTATTAGGTCATTTTCATGCCATCCATATCTGTCTGTACCAACTCTCGTGCTACGGGTTATGTTAGTAACCGACATCTAGTCTTTGGTGATTCACCAATCAGCAGCAAGCTTATGTGAAGAAGACAAGGTTAATAATAACCCAGCTCGATCTCGAGTCAAAACTGAGCTATCAATTTCGTTGGTGTGATTGTGTGTACCAGCTGCATGTATTATATTTATATAACCACTAAAGCTACCTTTTTATTAGCTTTATTATTTGAGAAGTATATATATGTAGTGGTTCTTTTTCTCTCATTCCAAGTACACAGTTGATTTTTTTTTCTTTCTTTAAAAAGATGTCATCTAGTATACTTGAACATGTCTAAGCAGCAATTAGCTAGTATATATAACAGTCCATTTTTCTCGAAGATGACAAGCAGGCTTTTTTCTCTTCCGAATAAAGCGACCGATCGACAATAAGAAATTAATTTGCCGGACATGTTTGTTGTATGTTGTTGCAATCAGTTAGTTTATGAAGAAGTTGGAAATTTGTACGTACCAGAGAGCGCGACCATGTCCTTTTGGGAGAGGCCCTGCGCGGCGAAGAGCGAGGTGAGGTTGGCAAGCCCCGACGTCGGCGGCGGGATGTTGTTGTTGGCGCCGCTGAAGCTCGCCGTCGTGGAGTCCCTCCTCCCGACCTTGACGTCCCAGTTCGGCCCGCCCAGGATGACGACGCTGTCCCTTGCGGCGATGGCGAGGATGTCGGCGCAGGAGACGACGCCGGGGCAGACCTTCTCGACGGCAGACTTGGCGGCGTCGATGACCTCGAAGCCTCTGACGGAGCCGTTGTTGGGGTTGGCCGTCTTCTCGCCCTGGAAGGTGGCCGTGTCGTCCAGCAGCAGCGAGGCGTCGCAGCCCTGGACGAAGCAGTCGTGGAAGAAGAGGCGGACGATGGAGGCGCCCACGCGATTCTCGCCGTCGATGGCGGACTGCACCGCCTGCTTCACGGCGCTGTCCAGGCCCGGGCAGGAGGTGGAGTAGAAGCCCGTCGACAGCTGCGCCGACGTGGTGCCGGCCAGCAGGGCCATCATCACCGTCGTCGTCGTCAGGATCAGCAAGAGGCGGCGGGAAGAGGCTATGCTGCGAGCAGCCATGGTGTACGCACCGACTGGCCGGCCGGTGATGATGAGCTGCTTACTCACTCTCGCAGCAAGAGATGCAGAGAAGAGTCCCTGGAGGAGAGTGATATTTATAGCAGAAACGCCGGGACTTGGCTTGTATAGACGACTAGTACACAGTATCGTATGTATTATGCATCAAATATGCATGATTAGATCACGTCATGATGGATTTATCATCTCCTCACCTACTCCTCCGTTGTGTTGGACTTTGAGTTGAAAAGCAAGCAAGCCATCGACGACCAAAGGCATATATCTCCGTGTTGTGTTGGCCACACACAGGGATCACGCGTTTTCACACCACCTGCCCTGGCTAGCTCTACTGGTTTCGTGGTATACTTCCTCCGTCCTAAAAAAAAAAGTGTTGTTTTTGCAATGAATCTAGACAAATATCTTTATGAAGAGAGTACATCATATATACCTGATGTTGTAGAGTACTTGAAGCACAACTGGGTGCAAGCTAGGATAATGATCAGGCAGCTGAGCTAGCTAGCTAGTTTCGTGTTGACGCTATAGTTGTTTTTTCCGGCCGGCCGCCTCTGAACTTTGTGAAAAGCATCATCATCACAAGTGTAGTCGAGGACAATACACGCAGCATGCAGCAGTTGTGGTCCGTGTGAATGTGACTTGTAGTGAAGCAAACTGCAAACCGACACGGTCGGTTAAGTAAAGCTACTCAGCCGGTCCGATCCTGGCCTTATTGATTAGGAACCCGTACGTTAAGCAAAGCTACCACTTCTGCTTGCTTTGCTACCTTTTCAATACGTGCATGCAAACTTGGGTTGCTCATGTAAACACAACCATACTCACCTAAACAAACTAAGACGGTGTTTGGTTTGTCCTCGGGTAACCTAACTGCAAATGGAATCAATTCAGTGGGGTTTGAGTGGTGGGATCATGACTTTGTTTGGAGCGGACGTGGTAACGGTATTGCAGACAGAGATCAGTGACGTAATGAGAGAAGGGTCGAGGAGTGGCGCTATAACAGCTGTATGGTTATCCAGTCCTCGGAGTAATTAGATTACGTTACATTCCATGGAACCAAACGCTTTCTAAGTTGGTAATAACTTGAGCGTATATCAGAAGGGTACACTACCCACTAAAAGGAACGCTAAGCAGCTAGCTGGTAATTTAGTTTTGGGAAACTGGGGGTTGTCATCATCAACTCTTCAATTTGTTATGACATCTGACAAGGTTTAGTTCGTTTATCCTGAAAAGTCAGCAGCTGGAATATGGAATGGTCATCCACAGGCATGATGCATCATCACATATTCGTATATACATGCATGAATGCATGATACAAACATGCATGGGCCATGGTCAATTTTGTATGGCACTACTGACCTATTCAAATATATAAAGTCTCGTTTCAACTTTACAAAAATGATACATTATATACGTCTTAACTGTTTACCACTCATATATAGGATAAAATATGCTATATACACCTCCCATGCTCGGTTTCCTAGCCAGCTCTAAAAGGTCGTCAATCGTCGCAACATACATTGGGAGTCAACACTCTCCATTCTAAGAATGCTTTGCTTCAAAGTTGAGCTGTTGCGAATAGGACAAGCATAAACATCCACACGTCCAAGTAAAGCTCAGAGCATGCAGTCCAACCCTGTGAAGTTTCTACAATGCATGCCAGCTGCACCAGCTGAATTATCTGCTACTTCATGTCATTGTAACATTTGTTTTTGTCATTGTTTGGTCAAAGCATATATAATAAAGTAATTAGGTACGGTTACCTATTCACACACAGGCCAAGAACAACTCTCTGGTACGGTCTCACTTGGAAGAGTAGTAGTGTGTGGGACTGGTATCGATCTGTTTAATTACTTTTCATTTGGGCATTGTTCTAGTTCTAGGCTTGCTGTGTCCATGTCTTCCTTTTAATAATATATACAAGAGAAATTCGAAGGATGCTGGAACCAAGGCTCCAAACGGTGTCTACCTACTTTTAACTGTGTGATGGCATGATGCATGGGTCAAACCAAAGCTTCGTTAATAAACTCAAGCAATTGGACATGCATATTAATTAAATAAGCATATATATATCCTTGTTATTTTAATTCAGCAGGTTTTACAGTGCAGGTACATCACGAGATATATAAAAATTGGTGTGACGGTCGACCAATCATGTTCAAAGGGCAGGCAGGCAGGCAGGCTGTCTTACGCGGCCTACTCCTGAAAAAGGGTTTGATTTGGAGAGTTGGGAACGGCTCCACTCCAGCGTGAGGATCTGGCGTGATCCTTGGATCCCCATCAGATAATTCACTTGTGAAACGACCACGTACACCGCGTGGAAGTGGAAGATGTCGATCGGATGCTGCACTGGGTGTGTGTCCGAGTTACTAGATGTGGATGGCAGACACTGGGGCTAGAACAAGATATATATTAGAGCTGTCTTCAATCCGGCTGACGCCGACGCCCTCTATGCTGGAACGCGGTACCGGTCGAGGATACTTCCACGCTGTCGTAGAGCTCAGTGTCCTCAGGCTCAGGCCAGCAGGAGTCTACGCTGGGCGATGATCCGCTGCTATACCAGGGGAAGATTTGTTCAGGAGGACAGGACCAGACTGACTTCTCATCCGATCCGGTGTTGGACAGATGCACGAGTGAGCAGGCCGGCAAGTTGATCATGATCATCTTCAGGAGATCGAGCCTGGACGATACACAACAATCTTACAGACTGCACGAAAGGCAAAGGCAAGTGCTGAGGCGAAATCATCTTGACGGCATGGCGAGTACGTGCTGTTATTCCGTACGTTGTGCCTCTGCAGACGAAGCTGAAGCCTAAGCCTGCGGAGGGGCTTCGCCTTGGCATCACAGTGGTGTCCGGGGCTGACAATACTTGAGACGGATAGTGCCCGGATGCAGGGTGGCGGCCTTGACGACCGACAAAGCGGACAGGTCCGAACTGAACTCCCAAGTCCCAAGTATGGTGCTAGAGGTGAAAGGAGTGCACTTGCTGGTAGAATATATGGAATTGCCACAAGGTAAAGAGAGATTGTACGTAATAGAGTACGTGGCTCATGAGCTAGCTCAGGTAGCTAGACGGAATACTCATGCTGCAACATGGTGGGGAACGTCTGTGTGCGTTTTGGACCTTATCAACTCTGATTGTAATACTGCACCCAATTAATGAAAGCTCTCTTTACCCCTGCAAAAATAAATCATGTCCAAAGGGCAGTGAAAAGTTACAAATACGACACGTTTAATTTGTATCTAGAAGAAGTAGTTAGATTTCACCGTAAGTTACAATATGACAAGCTCTCTTCCATGCATAGTCTTAAAAAATGTTAAAAATAAGATGCTTTTGGGCAATAACATGGATATTAATCTTGAAGTTTGATGGATGACACACCAAACAAATGAAATAAACAGAGGAAATGATGATATATAGAAGCTATATATCTATATGTGTTTTTCATTTCCTCGTAGCGCTATTAATAAACAGAGGAAAAATGTCGCTGGCCAGCACAGATTTCCTGCTGATCGTTTAGTTTATAAGTACCCATCACGTGCAACACGTATCACTGTAACAGGTCTGCAGGTGACCTGTTTAGTCATCTGTGCTACTGCAGATCAGATAACTAGGGACAATATAAAGTTCATGGGCGTTTGGAGAAATGTTCATATGCATGTGTATGTGTAATAGAAAATATGGGTACCAAAATAAGGGCATATGTGTGTCAGTACAAAGAAAAATTATGATAAAAAGATTGCTCTCCCAATATTTATCTTGAGAACAGAGTTGCATCCATCCTTTGATATATTTTTTTTTTGCCATTGTTTTCAATCGAGAAAGAAGCTAGACGTACTAATAACTTTTACTACAATCTGTGATCGATATTCATTTTCTTCTGGTCCAAAAGAAAATAATTTGAAATAAAGTAGAGATCACAGATGGTGCAT